GCCAACGGCAATTGAGAGGAAACTTTTTTCACCACTAAGGAACAGCAACATCATGTTTCCTAAAATTGCAAAATGAAGAATACATTCAAATTAAAACCAAACTGCATATATAGTTTGGTTTCAATATGAAAGGGATGTTGTTTTTTCCACGAATTTCTAGCGATTGCTTGAAGTGTTAAGAGATTTGGATCTACAGTTAAAAACTATACATTCGGGGGAATGATATGAAATCATTAAAACTAAATATTTTAAGAACTGTTTTTCGGCATTTAAAATTTAATAATTCATATTCCAAAAATAAACATTTTTGAAATTAATATAATTTCTTGAAAATTATTTTTTTTTACATTTTGTAACATGTCACTCTGACGTACGTACAAAAACAAATTTGTGTGTGGTTGTTGTTTCGTTTGTTGTACAACAGTTGCTGTTGAATAAATTATGCCATATTTGGCATCCTTCTACAGGTGAAAGACTTATACCCCGACCAAATACTTTTAATTCCGAAATGACGCCGTTAGCCGGTAATTGAGCTAACAGCCTGTTTTTTTCTAAAAAAAAAGTTGCTTTCACTCGAATCGTTCGTATTCAAACGTATTCGTTTTAATTTGGGTTTTTATATAAATTTTGAAAACTCACGGCCATTGCCAAAAATTTTGTTAAGTTTTCGATTTAATTTCATTATGAGTTGTGATGCTTGTGGCAACCCCAATAAATTCAAAACCTATCCAAGAATTGTAAAATAAAATGCAAAAAGTAAAAAACATTAAGTTTGGCCTGACCAAACTTTTAATAAACTCCACCAATGAGTACAGAAAAAAACTTTTAGATAAGTATCTGAATCGTATATATCGTGTTCCACTTTAAACAACAAATACCAGTAAGACCATTTGGAGAATGCTGTTAATTTTTTCAAAAAAACATGAAGTGGGTTAGGCCGTTATAATGTGACTGGGATTATCAAAATACATATACAAAATACGCTATAGGAAAACGTGGAATTAAATATTTAATGTTCTGCTAGAACCCATTATAAACTACAAACACAAATTTTTATACAGATCCGTCAAAAAAATGTAACAAAAAATCATCAAACTAGCGAATATCGGGAGGTAGTGTTATATGGGGCTATACAAAAACATGGACCTATACATACAATGTTTTTGCCACACGGGCTTGAACCTATTATGACATTCAAATACTAATTTGTTAAGACAAATCCGTGGAATATGTGGCAAAAATCATCAACATATTGAATGTCGGTAGTTACCGTTGTATGGGGGCTGTACCAAAACATGGACCTATACATACAATGTTTATCGAACGTTTGCAACGCCACTCATTTTCCACCCCAGCCGACCGAGGGCGGCCATCCCCATACGTAGGGATCACGTACACATCATGATCCACACCATAATAGGTTATCAGCAAGCGTTAGTAATTCCAGCTACAGAAAATGCTCTGTAGTATCTATTTCGAACTTCAAATACCAAATTTGAAACAATTCTGGTAAATAATATCGCTAAACTCACCAACATACCGAATATCGGGAGGTACCGTTATTTGGGGCTATACTAAAACATGCAAAAAAAAAAAAAAAAGATGTTGATGTATTAAAACAGTTCATACGTAAATTCCCTATCACACGCATACAATTTTGGCTTCATTTTGTAACATATTTTTTTTTTTTTTTCAAAACGATAGGTCTGCCCTATCGTTTTTTTTTCTCACGTTCGCTCTCCTATTTGTTTGTTACAAAAAAACCCAAAAATACAAAGGGAAGTTAAAACTTTTGTGTGTATGTCACTGACATTAAAAGCATTTGCTCCAAAAACCGAAATAATTATGCGAACGATTGGCAAAAATATAGTTACAAATACAGGCTGTAAATATAAAAATTAAGAAATAAAAACGCTTCTATGTTCCAACGATTCCGAATTGACCTGAAATTTTTATCACATGTAGGTATCTTTAACTTGATTAAAGGTAAGGTCACATTGGGCAAATATTTGACGAAAAATGTCAAATATTTCTTTGTCACAATTTGACCAACAAATATTATTTGACGGCAAATATAAAAACAGCTGATTTTGGGAAAACAAAATTATTTGCCAGGAAACAAAAATTTGACCAGTGTGTCCATAATGTGAACACATATGATCAATTATTTTCCTCATTTTTTGTCAAACATTTATTTGACGTTGCAAATGTTTTGTAAGGTCAAACAAGGAAAAATATCGGTTTAAAACATTGTCTCACCATTTTTCTTTAAGAACAGAAGCATTTGTAACATGATGTTTAATGAATATAATGACAAACGAATGCAATAAGTAGTTTTGTTTGTTTGGTATTTTTGAATTAATTAACAAAGTCCACCAAAGTGAGTAGTAGGTCAAGATTTCTTCTCAAAATAATTTTCTATATCTATATATATTTATATGTAAACTGTTTACATATGGTTGTTCCAGAATGTTTTTACTACGACAACCGATTTTGCATTTATGATATCGAAGAAAATTGCAAAACTAGTCGATTCTTGCAGGTTCTGGAACAGCCCAATAATTGAACACAACAACATACTACCCTACTATGAATTTTATGCACCATGATTTATATGCATACTTATACGCGTGCATATAAACATACAAAAATTGCAAAAAAAAAAAAAAGTTGTTCTGGCAAGGCATTTATTTCACAACAGCCGGTATTTTGTTTCCCTTCTCCAAAATAAATTACACCCGATACTCTATTTTATTTATGTCTCTCTTTCACTCTCTCTGTCTATTTCTCTCGGCCAAATAAACTTATGTTTCCTCCGAGTTTGATCAAACAATTTCATGGGGAAAATATATTTTATGAATGTGAACATGTGTCAAACATGTTTTCCCATAGCACTATTTGACGCTGTTTGGTGACTGTTTGAACAACCAAAATCTGTCAAATATTTGACTGTAATGTGAACATCGAATCAACTCTGTATGAATTTCACATTTGTTCAGTCAAATATGGGATAACAAATTTCGATTAAATATTTGCCCAGTGTGACCGTACCTTAAGGCAAAGCAGTTTTTTTTATTCGACCCGAAGTTTCGCATACAAAATCCGAGTTTTATCCAAATCTACAAAATATATATACAAAATGGGTATCATTTAAAAGCTTATGGAAATACCAATCCAACAAGTTGTCATAAAATGCTTGTTGTTGGACCCATAATGGGCATAAAAATCTATATAATACATTAAAGACTACACTCTGGTCTTTCCAAAATGGTGCCATATGTGTTGATATCTTTTGTCGCTCCGAAGATATTAGTGACAAAAATCATAACATTGAGATTTTCTTCACTAATATGGATCTAACCTTCATAGCTTTGAAATTACGAAGATATTGACTTTAAGATCGAAGTCCGGCTATATACAAAAGTTATAAAGTTATATATGGAACGCGTAGCCGGTGTTGGACATACCCCAGAAGAGAAAATAACAAGCGTCGGCCGAAGGCCGTTTACTTAAAAAAGCTATACAGTTTAGAAATAAAAACAAAAAAACCGGCCACTTGATAATGATACATAGTTTAGAAAAAGTATTGGTCACGTAGCTGGTGTTGGACATACCCCAGAGTAGAAAATCTCATGTCCCTGCCGAAGGCCGTCTTCTTAAAAAAGCTATAAAGGTTGAATACAATTTGTGGAGAAAAACTCAATTTCAAATTCATTTTATCATTAATATATCCGGAACTACAAGAGATATCAGAGTATTTGACACCGTTTTTCAGATTTAAGACCTTATAGTGGTTCCATTTTCGACTTTTTAAGGGTTGTTCGAAAGGTTCCGGTACAAAAACATTTTTTTTTTGTATCACCACTTGTTGGATAGGAACTTCCATAAAATTTTAAATGATAGCCATTTTGAACATATTAATATTGTACAACGGGATAAAATTCGAGCTTTCAGGTAACTGAGTATTTTCCTTACGAAAAAACGACTTGACAGTAATCAGGTTGAAAATGACCACCAGTTATAAAAAATTGAGGAACAACTCTAGTTTAGTAAAAACTCTTCGATTTTTTCGAAATTTTTCCCAGAGGTAAGTATTTTTACCCTGATTCCGGGAAACTATTTTTCTATTGGGGGACGGACCCGAGACCCCAGATTTTTGACCCGAAATTCCGGGTTCAAGACCCGGCCTGGACCCGGATCCAATTACCCGATATAGACAATATAGGTATCCTTGGAAGGCTTATGAAAATACCTATCCAACAATTTTTTGGACCCGGATTTTTTATAAAACCTACAAAAAGGGTCCATTATGGGGGTAAAAATTGAATTATTGCTGACACTCTTACCTTTCCAAAATGCTACAATTTGTGCGAATTCGCCTAATTTGTTCAACTCGCATAACCCGATTCTAACCAGTTCATTAAAATTATGTTTTCAGTAAAAAAAGGTTAATTTCGCGTAGCAGCGAAACCTATATTGTCTATATCGGGTAATTAGATCCGGGTCTAGTCGGGGTCTTAAACCCAGGTTTTGTGGTTAAAAATCTGTGGTACCGGGTCCGTCCCCCAAGAAAAAAATAGTTTCCCGGGATAAGAGTAAAAATACCCACCACTGGAAAAAGAGTTTTTACTAAACTAGAGTTAAACCAAAATTGAAAATGATCGGACTATAGCCCCTAGACTCGACTTGCTCCCAAACGGAAAGACAAAGTTAATATAACCTACAAAGTATGGTGGAGGGTATAAAAATAATGTTCGAACTGACCATCTCAGGCATTCATTCGTTCAATTGTATACAAAAATGTGAATAACAATGACAATAAAGGCAATGATGAAAAATTTAAGTCGCCTCATATAAAATCAAGAGGCAAAAAGAGAACTATACAAATTGCCGTAAGTAAACTCACCTAGCCTATGTCAAGTTAATTATAAACTATCATAGTCGAAGAGGATTAATGACATGTCGTTAAGTTTGACTGTTGTCAAATTGAAATAACATACCTTTGTAAGTTTTCAGGCTTCCCCCATCCTCTTTCAAAAAAACGTGTTATCAGCATTCTTCTGTAAATGCTGTCTAATTTACTTTTGACCATATTTTATTTCTTAAAATTCTTCAATTCAGATTCAATAACTCTATAATTTGCATAAATAATAATGCAAAAGTTACGTAAAATGTTATTGTTTGTCTTTTGATTGTGTTGTTCCGGAACGAACTAAACCAAAGAAACTATTCTCTAAATGGAACCAACAGAACTGTATTTAATTCTTGTCACAGTAGGTACAATAAAAATATATGTGCTCTCTTTTCAATTATATGAAATCCAGATAATATTCAAAAACCTATATATATATATATATATATATATATATATATATATATATATATATATATATATATATGAAGAATATATGTTCAGTCATGGTACAATGAAGAGATGGTAGGTCAACTTTGAAAAAATTGCAAGTATAGAGGTCTACCTGTTTGGCTTGTAATGTCGGAATTATTATCAAAACAATAAAAAATCAAACAACATGTTGCATTTATTTTGAATAAATAATTGAAATCCGCGATAACTGAATGAAAGGTCGACACTTCTTTTCAAAATCATGTACTATATATCTCTAAAGGATTATTTCGCTACAAAAACTCTAGATTTTGTCGATGCATACATTGAAATAAACGTTTTGAAAACACCCGATTTTGAATGTTTTCTTAACAATTTGTTTGTTATTGAAAAGAAAACACATACATAAACAAATATAGATGACATATTAAGCCAAGAAAATAAAAAAATTGAAATCATATGGTATCATAGCCCTACCTTTATATCATTGTACCATGAGTTCAGTATTACAACAGCTTGTTTTGACATTTAAAACGTTGTGTTTGTTTACATTTTATGTTGGGTGCATGGTAGAAGAATATTTTTCTACTATGGTTGTGTGTGGAAATTAAGCCAAGTAATAATAGGTGCGCCTGGTTATCATAAAATTTGTAACAATTGTTACTGGAAGTCATCTGTTAACACGAAAGTTCTGCAAAAGAGAGCGGTCGGAGAGAGATATTTTGACAGTTCTTTCAATGAGAGTTTGCAAATTCTTGCTTGACAAATTTCTTCTTGCAATCACTTGCAACTCTTCTTCTTCTCATTCACCGACATTCATTGGATGTTTTCTATTGTTTCTGTTTGTGTTTTTAATTTGAAAATATTTTTTTGGAATTAGCAAGACTAATTGTTTTTGGAGAACAACTTCACAAAATGTGAAAAACGTAAATGTTAATATGTGATAAGAAAATAAAAGTCTATGCCGGTTATTACATCTTTTCGATAGATAAAAAAGTGATGTTGTCGGAAACATAAATCGTTTTTCGTTATTACAAGTCTCATTTAAATAAAAACTGTCTGATAAGCAAAAGGCCAGACCATCTTCCCTCTATCTTTTAACGTAAAGTTTACTAAATTCATGTTGCCATATTTTATATTGATAATATGACAATAACAGCAAAATAAATTTAAATAAAGAAATGGATAACGCAAATCATTTATTTTATATTGAAGAACTGAATAATAAATTCATTTCACGAAATTAATTACAAATTCGTTTTGTTTATTATTTTCAACCTAAAATGGAGATGCCATTGTGAAAAAAAATGCTGTGACTACCTGTTACTTTTACAAAAGAAAGAAATGCATAAATTTTAAAGGAAAGATGTAATAATGAGAATCCGATAATGTGATCTTTATCCTTCACTTTTCCTAAAGTAAAGGATAACAAAAGTGGACTATAAAGGGAAGATATAAGGACTGGCCTATTTCTAACATTTTTAGACAAACGCCATTAGCAACACGTTTAAAGGATTCCGGGGAACACATCAAATCTATCTTTCTTTTATTGCTCATATTTTTATTTTATTGCTAATTTCTACTTTTATTTACAAAACTTGTAAAATTAGTGTTGCTTCCTTTGTTTTAATTCTTTTAATGGGGGACAAATTGGTTTGTTTTGACAAAACAGCTGATTATTTACAGGCTTCTGCAAGAATACCGTCTGTTTACTTTTCGCATTTTCTTGGCACAAGAGAATAAAACTACCTTAATCCCTCAGAAAGAAGTTGCTGACCAATCCTTCTGGAAAAGTAACCAGGCACACCTAATACGCCTTTCGGGGGCCATTGCAACAGCCCCAAGTTGATAGTTAGCCCCCTAAATGTTTATGCAAGCCCACAACTATAATATCTTCTACGTCATCGACAAATACCACTAATATTCCAGAAAAATATGGTCAACCATGCCACGCTGTTCGAAGACGTTGAGAACACTACCTTCCGGCCAAGTTTGAAACGTTGGATAGTCAACTATATGTGTGGACGCCAGTCGTACGTGGAATTCCGGAATAAGAAGTCCAAGCCTCGTAGAGTGAAACAGGGAGTTCCCCAAGGTGGGGTGATATCTCCGGAACTGTTTAACCTGTACCTTTCCGGAATTCCGCGCCCTCCAGACGGCATCGAGATCGTAACTTATGCGGATGATTGTACGATCATGGCGTCGGGTCCTGTAGTTGATGACATATGTGTCAGGGTGAATAATTATCTCGCGGAGCTTGCCGCCTTCTTCAACGCGAGGAATATGAAAATATCCGCCACTAAATCGACGGCCACACTATTTACCACATGGACTGCGGAGATGAGAACACAGGTGAATGTGCAGGTCGAGGGGCATATAATTCCGACCACCAACTACCCCAAAATTCTTGGGGTCACATTCGATAGCATGTTCAAGTCTTCCGTGCAAGCCACAGCTATTTGCGATAAAATGAAAAGTAGGAACAAGGTCCTCAAGGCGCTAGCCGGCAGCACTTGGGGTGCGGATAAGGAAACCTTGTTGACCTCTTATAAAGCGATAGTCGGTCTGTGGTTAGCTATGCGGCTCCAGTGTGGTCGGCGAATACAAGTGCAACGCAGTGGAAATGTATTCAGACCTGCCAGAATGCCGCCCTGAGAACTGCAACAGGGTGCCTCCTCATGACGCCTGTGGACCACTTACATGAGGAGACGAAGGTTCTTCCCTTACGTCAGCATAATCATATGCTTTCGTTGCAGTACCTGCTTGGGTGTTATCGCGGGAGTCACCCTAACCACCATATGGTGGATAGAACTCCCCCACCCAGGCGTGACAGGAAGGACCTGCACGATCTAGAGAGAGAGAGGTCCAGAGATATAAGAGAGAGCCTCTAGATCATGAAGCCTATCAAGCGGGTCTGAATAGCATTCATACTGATGCAGTCGCAGAGGTAGTCAATAATTACAGTATGAATGCCATACTCGGAGTCCACCCCCCATCCATTGCAGCTGAAGAACATCGGCTGCCTAGGCAAACCAGGGTAGTTTTGGCCCAACTACGTTCAGGATGGTGCAGCCGTCTCAATTCGTATTGGGCACGAATTGATGAGGATGTGCGGAACGCCTGCCCAGCGTGCGATACAGGCCCGCACAACACGCTGCATTTGTTTAATTGTCCTGCCAAGCCTACCCAACTCCGTCCAGAGGATCTATGGCTACAGCCCATAAAGGTAGCAGAATTCCTAAACCTGGACATTGAGGAAGAACCGGATTAGTCGGAAAAAACAACAGAACGCGTAAAACTGCTACTACAACAACAACAACTAATATTCCAGAAAGAACATAGCATAAATATCGCTACCATTAAAAGCCCTTTAAGAATGCCCAGCAATCAAGCTAGTAAGCATAGCCGATGTAAATTCGCCAAACCATACCAAGTGTTTTCACAGACCACAAAGAGCTGGGGCTTGTGCAAGTTTGGATAAGACCAACTGAGTCATAGCTCTCGTGAAAAGCTGGAGCAACAAAGTAAAATGGCTACACAACAGAGTCAGGCCGTAAAGGGCTAGCACGAATAAAAGAAAACAAGGTGTTGAAAGCCCTTTTAATCTGCGCTACCATTCTCAAGAACATCTTGGATGCCATCAAAGATTTGCCAAATGAAGAAACCTTTGATTACAGTGATTCTGGAATACAGCTCCAAGCCATGGAAAATTCTCACGTTGTTGCGCCAACGATGACACAGTGACCATCAAAGCCCAGGATAATGCCGAGACATTTACTTTTATGTTTGAATCGCCAAATCATGAATAAGTCCCCGACTATAAAATGATACTGATAAATCTCGACCAAGAACATTTGGGCATTCCCGAAACAGATAACTCCTGTGTTGTAAGCATGCATTCAATGGAATTTGCACGGATCCGAGATTTGGGCCAATTCAGTGAAATTATGGTTATCTGTTGTACCAAGGAAGGTGTAAAATGTTCAACATTTGGCGATGTTGGTTTGGTAAATGTTAAATTGGCGCAAAGTTCAAGCAGATGAGGCAGTCATTATTGAAATGCAGGACCCTGTCCCCGTAACATTCGCCTGTCGTTACCTAAATGCCTTTACCAAGGCCAGTTCTTTGTGTGGACAAGTACAGTTGTCTATGTACCATTGGTGGTTAAGTATAGTATACAAATTTGGGTCATATACGTTATAATTTGGCGCCTAAAATTGAAGACCAAAGATAAGCAGTTCAGAGGAGTGAAGTGTACAACAAATTTTCTTCTCAGAGCATTTTTACACCTCCTTTTTTATGAAATAAGTGGCTTGGCCGTGTCATAGTTTCCATCTAAATTGTTATGTTTTAAAAAAGAAGGGCGGTTTTCAAAAATGGTAAAGTCCATATTATGTATGTGCGTTAAATAAAAGTAATACTTTCAGTTCGTCTGCACTTTTACACAATCTTTCTGATTTTTTCTTATCTTTTCTAAATCTGTATCATAGAATTAGGAAAATGTGAGAAAATCCACCATTTCATATTTTATAATCAACAAAATAGTTTGAATTATTTTTTGAATAAATGAGTGAGCTATAATAGTATATGATTTGAGAATAGTCCTCAAGAATGTCCGGTATGTTAGAAATTTTACCAATAAATAAAGTGTATTATTAAAATATATTGACGAATATTTATTAATTTTTAAAAAAGTTGTTATTGTAAAACACTTTTAGTTAAGAAGACATAAACAAAATCTGTTTTTGTGTTCTATTCATTTAGGGCGAATTCAGCATTACAACAACTTGTTTTCACATTTAAAGGTGCCGTCATGATCCAAGCATAAGGTCCCCCATCCAGCTCAGCTGATTACCAGACGATCTGTCAATAAAATTTGAATTCGCTGCAACAAAAACAAACTTCAAAACGATAGCTGCTGGGACAATGAACTGTCAAACCAATTTATAAGTTAAAAATTTTAAATGAAAAATTATTCAAAAAATTATTGCAATGCTTGGATATCAAAAATTGAAATATCAAAATTGTTAAAATGTTTTGTCAAAAATAAGTAGATTTTTATATGTTTTCTAATACGACGCAAATTGGAGGTTGTTACGACATGCAATTTTACAAATATCAACAATTTTTCAATTAACATTTTTAATCTCAAATTCGGTTTGGCGGTTCATTGTCCCAGCAGCTGCGTCAATGCGTCTACCTGTATTTTTCTACCATGTGTTATACATACAAAAAATGACAACACAAAATTCTTCTGTCAAGTCGAAAATATTTATTTTCGCCTCAAGAATTTTGACATTTCATCTGGTAAAATAACAGCTGTTTTTAGATTAATTCGCTCGAAGGAAGACCTTATAACTGTGCCATGGGTGCCGTCAACTGGGGCGATGCGACTACCTAGTAGCAACCTTGGTTGCTTTGTTGTAGCAATTCGCCGATGCGGTTATCTGTTAAAACTACCTTGTTACATTCAATATGTCAATAAAATTCAAAAGTTTTTTCAAATATAAGTAGATTTTTATATGTTGTCTTATACTACGTCATTCGAAGGCTATTATAATTCGCGTTTTTCAACAATTTTTACAAATTTAAATAATTTTTCATTCAACATTATCAATTCCAAAATTGGTTTGACAGTTCATAGTCCCAGCAGCTTTGTCGACGCGTCTACCTATATTCTTCTACCATGGTACTCATATATCACTGCTGATTATTATGCTGGTTACTGATAACTTCTTAAGAAGTAGTCGTATTCACTTTTTGAGAGATTTTTCGTTGAGATAAACTTTTGAATTGATGTGGTAATACGATGACGGCTATCAATTCAATTTCCGCTTAATTTTGGTGTACGAGTTGAAGAATTCATACAGCCTGTTCCACGATATCGAAAGAACACGTTTGCACAACTTTTACACGACAAACAGCTGATTTTCGTTCCATTAAAATCCATCAGAACGAAAATTTGCACGAAAATCATACCGAACGTAAACGTAAGCGTTTCAGTGTAATTTTGCGTTCCACTATCTTTTTTCTTTCGTACGCATGCGAACACAAATGTCAAAATCAGTCACTTGTGTGTTTGCTGTCGTATGATAACAATTAAGGAAAATTGTTTTAACATAAACATTGCTTGATTGAAAATGGAAAAATGTAAGTAAAGATAATAAATGCAATTTAATATGTGAACAACAAATATATTTTTTTTATTTTCTCAATTGCAGCACGAAAAAATCATCAACTACACAGCTGCGGGCACTAGTTGAGTATATGGAGGAGAATCCTGTTGCGTTCCTCTGTGAGTGTCGGCTTTTTTACCCATTGGCCGCAAATATGGTTCTCAAAAATCTGCAGACATTCCGCAATGGTTCTGCTCACTGTCGACTTCGCTGTTAAAGTCAAGGCTTCGTTCCCTAAATTCTGTTGGTAGCTTCCTCTCGCCAAAAACCGCAAGAATGTGCCAAGTTTTAAATCGGGCGGATTTGGGTAGTTCTGCAACCGGGCACTTCTCTTCCATCATATCCAAAAGAACCCGAAAAACTTCCTTCGACACACGAAAATTGGCCACAAACCTAAAAAAATTCATTTTTTATTACTTCAAAAATGTAAAAATACAATTATACTTACTGGTTGTTAGGTACTTCAAATAAACTCGAAGCATCTCTTAAATGCCTCCGTGGCACATTCTGAACCTCCTCCACATCATCCATAAAAAATAGGGCTATAGAAATATTCATTTTTTTTTATTTTTTAAGAACACAAATAGTTTGAACACAATCACTAGAAATTTTTTTGTTTGTTTATTTACAATTTGTTTGTTTACAACTGAACTGTCAGTTGAGACAGTGCCACTGCGTCTTTTTCGGGGTTAAATTAGACATTTGGCGCTTTTTTTCCTTATTTCGCGATTAATTTTTCCAAAAAATATTTAGCAACACTGAATCAAGTAAGGCTATGCGAAAGAAAGAACGAAAGTTAGTGGAACGCATTCTTATACGAAAGTGAGTGAGTAGCCTTCGTTCGCACAAATTTTCTTTCGAGATCGTGGAACAGGCTGATAGTTGTTTCGTAACTAATACACCAATTCGGTGTTGGTGTTCTTTAGTATATATGTGATCACATAAAAGGCGGTTCATTATCTTTATATCATTTGGGATCCACCCAGTCCCATTATACCAGGGTTTTTCGTATATATTGTTTGTAATTGAGGCAAATTTTCTTCCTTTTGTTTCTGATTTAAAAACAAATTCATCATTCCAGTCTTCATAAATATGTTCTTTGATAGCTCTCAGAGCTTCATTATTAGATAATTTAACTTCTAGTGGAGCACCGTATATGCGATTTTCGCAATTGCATCAGCCTCAATGCCACAATGGCTGGATGTCCAGACAACATGGCATGATTCAATATTAGATGCAGCTAATTTGTTGTGGAACACTGCGACCGTATAGTTGTCACAATTGTCATTGATAAGTGCTTTGCATGCCAAAAGACTGTCAGTGAAGAACACACATTTTTTAAATCTATCTCCAACAGCTATCTCAAGAGCATTGAATAAAGACCAAAGCTCTCCAAACATTGATGATGATTTGAAGCCAATTTTAATGTAGAATTTTTGATCTAGAGAATTGTTGTAGGTCGCACACCCCATAGAGCTTGCGGAAATAGATGGAATCAGATAATAAGTTGAGTTTGAGTTGTAGACTCTTTTGTCGTGTAAAGTTAGGAATGTTCATAAAGCTGTCGAAATTTGTCTTAAACTCATAGTAGACATGGCTGTAAATAGACTTCATTACTGGATTATCTGAAATAATATCAAACAAAGCAGTTGTTAAGGCTCTATATTTTGGTGGGAGTTCTTGGGCAACGGTATACAACACATGAGTGGGGTAGACTTTGTAACCCCAAGACACCGTCTTAATATATCATTTTGAGTGTGTCAATTTTCTTATTTATGTATTCGGGTGAGTTAGCAGTGAATGTTCTCGCGTACTAAAGTTTGGATCGTACCACACTTTTATATATATTTAGTGCGTTCTTTGGTTGCCACCTTTCACGGAGGCCAAGCACTATAACATGTTTGACCTTGAACGAATATCACGGCCGATTTTTTCGTAATGATCCTTGACCGTCAGGGAGATGGTTAACACTCTTCCAATAAATGTTAATTTCCGTTGCTGTTTTACGGTAAAGCCATTGATACTTAAATTGATCTCTTTGTGCTGTTTTTTTTTTGCAAAGTACATTGTATGTGATTTGGATGGATTAAAGGAGAGGTTTAAACTGTTACAGTATCTTTTGAAGATAAGAGTTTTCGTCTGAAGATTTTGAGCAGCAATCTCAAAATCTCTATTATAGAATAGGATGATAAAGTCGTCCGCATACTGAAAGACCATGGTGTTGCTGTTTTCAATCTGGTGTAATTCAGCAGTATATATATTGAAGACCATCCTTGACAGTAATCTTCCCATTTCCCCTCACAAGTGTCCGTTCAGATAAAAAATTATGTATCCACCTACAGTAGAACCCATTTAAATTTATTGGGATATCGTACTTAACGCAGTTGTATGCATTACTTATATCAAGAGATAAGATCACGGTTTCAAATCCATTGATTTTAAGTAAGGACAATCGGTGGAGTAGATCATTAATACAAGTCGAGATGGAGCGATTCCTGACATTAACATTGGTATGCTCAATATGTCTTTGTATTATATCCTTTATCATTATATTGCAACATTTCAGCAACACGGGTATAAGAGAGATGGGTCGGAAATTATAAGTTTGGTCGTGATCTTTGTTTGGTTTCGGGATAGGAACAATCTTGATGCACTTCCAACTACAGCGTATGCAATTATCCTCAATAGTATTATTTATGACAGTGAGAATAACCCTCTTAAATATCCCCGGTAATGCCTTAAGTATGGAGTAAGTGACTCCGTCAACTCCTCCTGCTGACAATTTTCAAAGTCTTCGAATTCTAAGGTAGGTAAAAACATCATTATCATCCACATCGTGAGTCAGCTCCTCCATACAATCCACAACAGGAACCTGGTCTTTCAAGTAATTTAAGTAGCATTGGTTGATCTCTTCGTTCCAATGCGATCTGGGCTCATCGTGCCTTTTTCTGACATTTTTGATGATTCTTGAAGATTTTCTAGCACAGAGCTCTCTATTTAACTCATCAATTTTGGCCAGAAAGCTCTGTCTTTGGCCACTGCCACCTGCTCTTTCCAGTTTTCCTTTTCCTAAATGGCGTTCTCCAGGTTTAAATAAGAAAGGTATTTTCTAGCCTTATTGGTTGCAGCTACATATCTCCTGTACAGAGGCAGTAACTGATCGTTCCATCAATGCTTGGGAGTTCTTCCATTCTTTAGGTGGTGTGTTGCATACGATATCTGCATTTTGAGAGAATCCTAAATCATTTCGAAATCAGGCTCTAATTGTACATTGTTCAATGATTCAAACAATTTATTTTTGGAAAGGAACTTCTTAGAACCATTAATGTTACCATATATCCGTAGGATCACAGGTAAGTGTTTACTACCCACGAGGTAGTTGTCCAGAACACTCCAGTCAATAGCTATACCGTTGCTAACAAAGGCCAAATCAAGGACCCAGCCATCCGATTCAGGATTCCTTTTAAATGTAATTTTAACAAGATTTACATATCTCAAGTTTGAAGCTAGTATTATATTTTCTAAATTCTTTCCTCTTCTACTGGATATCACATCTCCCGAAGCTTCGCACCTGGCATTGAAGTTACTAAGGACCATAACCTCCTCCATATCTTCCAAAAACTGTATTACTTTCTCCATTTCATCAATAAATTCTTCCACCTCAGTAGACGGGTGGAAGTATACGGAGACAATATGGAAATTTGGACGTTGGTTTAAGGTTTTCGCTATTATTATATCATGGTTGGTATTGTAGATGACTCTCCAGAAAGTTGTGTCATTTGGCCACTGCTACCTGCTCTTTCCAGTTTTCCTTTTCCAAAATGTCATTCTCTAGTTTTAAATACGAAGGGTATTTTCTAGCCTTATTGATCGCACATCTTAACACATCTTAAGTTTGAAGCTTGAACAGGTGGATGTATACGGAGATAATATGGAAATTTGGACGTTGGTTTAAGGTTTTCGCTATTATTATATCATGGTTGGTATTGTAGATGACTCTCCAGAAAGTTGTGCCATTTGGCCACTGCTACCTGCTCTTTCCAGTCTTCCTTTTCCAAAATGCCATTCTCCAGTTTTAAATAAGAAAGGTATTTTCTAGCCGTATTGGTCGCAGCTACATATCTCCTGTACAGAGCCAGTAACTGATCGATCCCCCAATACTTGGGAGTTCTTCCATTCTTTAGGTGGGGTGTTGCATACGATATCTGCATTTTGAGAGAATCATCAATCATTTCGAAATCAGGCTCTAATTGTACATTGTTCAATGATTCAAACAATTTATTTTTGGAAAGGAATTTCTTAGAACCATTAATGTTACCATATATCCGTAGGATCACAGGAAAGTGTTTACTACCCACGAGGTAGTTGTCCAGAACACTCCAGTCAATAGCTATACCGTCGCTAACAAAGGCCAAATCAAGGACCGAGCAATCAGAATCAGGATTCTTTTTAAATGTAATTTTACCAAGATTTACACATCTTAAGTTTGAAGCTTGAACGGGTGGAAGTATACGAAGACAATATGGAAATTTGGACGTTGGTTTAAGGTTTTCGCTATTATTATATCATGGTTGGAATTGTAGATGACTGCAAAAATTAACATGTTTTTTAAAGGCAATGGCTACACCTCCTTAGCCATCTGCTCTGAATTTTTGAATAAGGTTAACATTTATCATCTTGTTTGGCTTGTTATGCCATGTTTACGTTAGAACTTTTTGTAGGGTTAACCCACTTTGATAGGATTTATTTGAAGTATAATGGACGTATTATTTGAAGTATAATGAATATAATGGACGTAATGGATATGACAATGTTAATCCAAATCCAGTGGGTTAAACGTATATACATGTAAACGTACTGTAAGACTTCTCAGAAAAAAAATCTGAGAAAACTGCTATATCAATATTATAATTGTTGCAAAAGAAATCGACGTATTGCTTATTAGCTTGGAAAGACGGTATATTATATTGTAGAACTTTCAGACCCATGGCTAGATGTATACAGAGTATTAGAAGTGTAGAACTGGTTAGTAGATACTCCACATTTTTGTATTCTGTCAGAAAAGAGGTTTACAGCGTCAATAGCAACTGCATTGCCACTCATTTTGCAAAAGTCCTGAACAAATTTTAATAATTCGCCAGTAATATTTTCTAACTCAGTGACTCTAAGATCTTCTCTGGGGGTAAACTGGAGCAGAAGGAGATGGTTGACTAAACATTCTTTCTGGCATTTTGACACCCTGAGGATGAACATATTTGTTCATATGGGGCCATTATAGCATTCACCTGATCATCCTTGCTGACAGCGCTGACACCTTTTTCCTTTTCCTTCATCGTCGGCAGAAAGTTCAAATCTGTTCATTCGTAAGTATTCATCCAACAATTCTCTTCTGGACATTTTTTCAAGATTTTATTGGTTTCCACCTCCTTATTTCAAATCGGACACTTATTCCTATCAACAGCAACTTGTCCTTCCCTGTTGCATAATATACAATATTATTGCTTGCAATTACCATTTTTCCCCTTGCCCAAACCACATTTCAAACACCTCTCTTCCGATCTGCAACCTAGTTTAGTATGATCCAGTCTGCCACATTTATGGCATTGTCTCACTGCTGAGTAATACGTATCCACTGTTAAGACTGTTTTGTTGAAAACTACCCATTGCGAATGATCATCAACAAAAAAGCCGATCTTGGCCACAAACCTAAAAAAATTCATTTTTTATTACTTCAAAAATGTAAAAATACAATTATACTTACTGGTTGTTAGGTACTTCAAATAAACTCGAAGAATCTCTTAAATGACTCCGTGGCACATTCTGAACCTCCTCCACATCATCCATAAAAAATAGGGCTATAGAAATATTCATTTTTTTTTATTTTTTAAGAACACAAATAGTTTGAACACAATCACTAGAAATTTTTTTGTTTGTTTATTTACAATTTGTTTGTTTACAACTGAACTGTCAGTTGAGACAGTGCCACTGCGTCTTTTTCGGGGTTAAATTAGACATTTGGCGCTTTTTTTCCTTATTTCGCGATTAATTTTTCCAAAAAATATTTAGCAACACTGAATCAAGTAAGGCTATGCGAAAGAAAGAACGAAAGTTAGTGGAACGCATTCTTATACGAAAGTGAGTGAGTAGCCTTCGTTCGCACAAATTTTCTTTCGAGATCGTGGAACAGGCTGATAGTTGTTTCGTAACTAATACACCAATTCGGTGTTGGTGTTCTTTAGTATATATGTGATCACATAAAAGGCGGTTCATTATCTTTATATCATTTGGGATCCACCCAGTCCCATTATACCAGGGTTTTTCGTATATATTGTTTGTAATTGAGGCAAATTTTCTTCCTTTTGTTTCTGATTTAAAAACAAATTCATCATTCCAGTCTTCATAAATATGTTCTTTGATAGCTCTCAGAGCTTCATTATTAGATAATTTAACTTCTAGTGGAGCACCGTATATGCGATTTTCGCAATTGCATCAGCCTCAATGCCACAATGGCTGGATGTCCAGACAACATGGCATGATTCAATATTAGATGCAGCTAATTTGTTGTGGAACACTGCGACCGTATAGTTGTCACAATTGTCATTGATAAGTGCTTTGCATGCCAAAAGACTGTCAGTGAAGAACACACATTTTTTAAATCTATCTCCAACAGCTATCTCAAGAGCATTGAATAAAGACCAAAGCTCTCCAAACATTGATGATGATTTGAAGCCAATTTTAATGTAGAATTTTTGATCTAGAGAATTGTTGTAGGTCGCACACCCCATAGAGCTTGCGGAAATAGATGGAATCAGATAATAAGTTGAGTTTGAGTTGTAGACTCTTTTGTCGTGTAAAGTTAGGAATGTTCATAAAGCTGTCGAAATTTGTCTTAAACTCATAGTAGACATGGCTGTAAATAGACTTCATTACTGGATTATCTGAAATAATATCAAACAAAGCAGTTGTTAAGGCTCTATATTTTGGTGGGAGTTCTTGGGCAACGGTATACAACACATGAGTGGGGTAGACTTTGTAACCCCAAGACACCGTCTTAATATATCATTTTGAGTGTGTCAATTTTCTTATTTATGTATTCGGGTGAGTTAGCAGTGAATGTTCTCGCGTACTAAAGTTTGGATCGTACCACACTTTTATATATATTTAGTGCGTTCTTTGGTTGCCACCTTTCACGGAGGCCAAGCACTATAACATGTTTGACCTTGAACGAATATCACGGCCGATTTTTTCGTAATGATCCTTGACCGTCAGGGAGATGGTTAACACTCTTCCAATAAATGTTAATTTCCGTTGCTGTTTTACGGTAAAGCCATTGATACTTAAATTGATCTCTTTGTGCTGTTTTTTTTTTGCAAAGTACATTGTATGTGATTTGGATGGATTAAAGGAGAGGTTTAAACTGTTACAGTATCTTTTGAAGATAAGAGTTTTCGTCTGAAGATTTTGAGCAGCAATCTCAAAATCTCTATTATAGAATAGGATGATAAAGTCGTCCGCATACTGAAAGACCATGGTGTTGCTGTTTTCAATCTGGTGTAATTCAGCAGTATATATATTGAAGACCATCCTTGACAGTAATCTTCCCATTTCCCCTCACAAGTGTCCGTTCAGATAAAAAATTATGTATCCACCTACAGTAGAACCCATTTAAATTTATTGGGATATCGTACTTAACGCAGTTGTATGCATTACTTATATCAAGAGATAAGATCACGGTTTCAAATCCATTGATTTTAAGTAAGGACAATCGGTGGAGTAGATCATTAATACAAGTCGAGATGGAGCGATTCCTGACATTAACATTGGTATGCTCAATATGTCTTTGTATTATATCCTTTATCATTATATTGCAACATTTCAGCAACACGGGTATAAGAGAGATGGGTCGGAAATTATAAGTTTGGTCGTGATCTTTGTTTGGTTTCGGGATAGGAACAATCTTGATGCACTTCCAACTACAGCGTATGCAATTATCCTCAATAGTATTATTTATGACAGTGAGAATAACCCTCTTAAATATCCCCGGTAATGCCTTAAGTATGGAGTAAGTGACTCCGTCAACTCCTCCTGCTGACAATTTTCAAAGTCTTCGAATTCTAAGGTAGGTAAAAACATCATTATCATCCACATCGTGAGTCAGCTCCTCCATACAATCCACAACAGGAACCTGGTCTTTCAAGTAATTTAAGTAGCATTGGTTGATCTCTTCGTTCCAATGCGATCTGGGCTCATCGTGCCTTTTTCTGACATTTTTGATGATTCTTGAAGATTTTCTAGCACAGAGCTCTCTATTTAACTCATCAATTTTGGCCAGAAAGCTCTGTCTTTGGCCACTGCCACCTGCTCTTTCCAGTTTTCCTTTTCCTAAATGGCGTTCTCCAGGTTTAAATAAGAAAGGTATTTTCTAGCCTTATTGGTTGCAGCTACATATCTCCTGTACAGAGGCAGTAACTGATCGTTCCATCAATGCTTGGGAGTTCTTCCATTCTTTAGGTGGTGTGTTGCATACGATATCTGCATTTTGAGAGAATCCTAAATCATTTCGAAATCAGGCTCTAATTGTACATTGTTCAATGATTCAAACAATTTATTTTTGGAAAGGAACTTCTTAGAACCATTAATGTTACCATATATCCGTAGGATCACAGGTAAGTGTTTACTACCCACGAGGTAGTTGTCCAGAACACTCCAGTCAATAGCTATACCGTTGCTAACAAAGGCCAAATCAAGGACCCAGCCATCCGATTCAGGATTCCTTTTAAATGTAATTTTACCAAGATTTACATATCTCAAGTTTGAAGCTAGTATTATATTTTCTAAATTCTTTCCTCTTCTACTGGATATCACATCTCCCGAAGCTTCGCACCTGGCATTGAAGTTACTAAGGACCATAACCTCCTCCATATCTTCCAAAAACTGTATTACTTTCTCCATTTCATCAATAAATTCTTCCACCTCAGTAGACGGGTGGAAGTATACGGAGACAATATGGAAATTTGGACGTTGGTTTAAGGTTTTCGCTATTATTATATCATGGTTGGTATTGTAGATGACTCTCCAGAAAGTTGTGTCATTTGGCCACTGCTACCTGCTCTTTCCAGTTTTCCTTTTCCAAAATGTCATTCTCTAGTTTTAAATACGAAGGGTATTTTCTAGCCTTATTGATCGCACATCTTAACACATCTTAAGTTTGAAGCTTGAACAGGTGGATGTATACGGAGATAATATGGAAATTTGGACGTTGGTTTAAGGTTTTCGCTATTATTATATCATGGTTGGTATTGTAGATGACTCTCCAGAAAGTTGTGCCATTTGGCCACTGCTACCTGCTCTTTCCAGTCTTCCTTTTCCAAAATGCCATTCTCCAGTTTTAAATAAGAAAGGTATTTTCTAGCCGTATTGGTCGCAGCTACATATCTCCTGTACAGAGCCAGTAACTGATCGATCCCCCAATACTTGGGAGTTCTTCCATTCTTTAGGTGGGGTGTTGCATACGATATCTGCATTTTGAGAGAATCATCAATCATTTCGAAATCAGGCTCTAATTGTACATTGTTCAATGATTCAAACAATTTATTTTTGGAAAGGAATTTCTTAGAACCATTAATGTTACCATATATCCGTAGGATCACAGGAAAGTGTTTACTACCCACGAGGTAGTTGTCCAGAACACTCCAGTCAATAGCTATACCGTCGCTAACAAAGGCCAAATCAAGGACCGAGCAATCAGAATCAGGATTCTTTTTAAATGTAATTTTACCAAGATTTACACATCTTAAGTTTGAAGCTTGAACGGGTGGAAGTATACGAAGACAATATGGAAATTTGGACGTTGGTTTAAGGTTTTCGCTATTATTATATCATGGTTGGAATTGTAGATGACTGCAAAAATTAACATGTTTTTTAAAGGCAATGGCTACACCTCCTTAGCCATCTGCTCTGAATTTTTGAATAAGGTTAACATTTATCATCTTGTTTGGCTTGTTATGCCATGTTTACGTTAGAACTTTTTGTAGGGTTAACCCACTTTGATAGGATTTATTTGAAGTATAATGGACGTATTATTTGAAGTATAATGAATATAATGGACGTAATGGATATGACAATGTTAATCCAAATCCAGTGGGTTAAACGTATATACATGTAAACGTACTGTAAGACTTCTCAGAAAAAAAATCTGAGAAAACTGCTATATCAATATTATAATTGTTGCAAAAGAAATCGACGTATTGCTTATTAGCTTGGAAAGACGGTATATTATATTGTAGAACTTTCAGACCCATGGCTAGATGTATACAGAGTATTAGAAGTGTAGAACTGGTTAGTAGATACTCCACATTTTTGTATTCTGTCAGAAAAGAGGTTTACAGCGTCAATAGCAACTGCATTGCCACTCATTTTGCAAAAGTCCTGAACAAATTTTAATAATTCGCCAGTAATATTTTCTAACTCAGTGACTCTAAGATCTTCTCTGGGGGTAAACTGGAGCAGAAGGAGATGGTTGACTAAACATTCTTTCTGGCATTTTGACACCCTGAGGATGAACATATTTGTTCATATGGGGCCATTATAGCATTCACCTGATCATCCTTGCTGACAGCGCTGACACCTTTTTCCTTTTCCTTCATCGTCGGCAGAAAGTTCAAATCTGTTCATTCGTAAGTATTCATCCAACAATTCTCTTCTGGACATTTTTTCAAGATTTTATTGGTTTCCACCTCCTTATTTCAAATCGGACACTTATTCCTATCAACAGCAACTTGTCCTTCCCTGTTGCATAATATACAATATTATTGCTTGCAATTACCATTTTTCCCCTTGCCCAAACCACATTTCAAACACCTCTCTTCCGATCTGCAACCTAGTTTAGTATGATCCAGTCTGCCACATTTATGGCATTGTCTCACTGCTGAGTAATACGTATCCACTGTTAAGACTGTTTTGTTGAAAACTACCCATTGCGAATGATCATCAACAAAAAAGCCGATCTTGGCCACAAACCTAAAAAAATTCATTTTTTATTACTTCAAAAATGTAAAAATACAATTATACTTACTGGTTGTTAGGTACTTCAAATAAACTCGAAGAATCTCTTAAATGACTCCGTGGCACATTCTGAACCTCCTCCACATCATCCATAAAAAATAGGGCTATAGAAATATTCATTTTTTTTTATTTTTTAAGAACACAAATAGTTTGAACACAATCACTAGAAATTTTTTTGTTTGTTTATTTACAATTTGTTTGTTTACAACTGAACTGTCAGTTGAGACAGTGCCACTGCGTCTTTTTCGGGGTTAAATTAGACATTTGGCGCTTTTTTTCCTTATTTCGCGATTAATTTTTCCAAAAAATATTTAGCAACACTGAATCAAGTAAGGCTATGCGAAAGAAAGAACGAAAGTTAGTGGAACGCATTCTTATACGAAAGTGAGTGAGTAGCCTTCGTTCGCACAAATTTTCTTTCGAGATCGTGGAACAGGCTGATAGTTGTTTCGTAACTAATACACCAATTCGGTGTTGGTGTTCTTTAGTATATATGTGATCACATAAAAGGCGGTTCATTATCTTTATATCATTTGGGATCCACCCAGTCCCATTATACCAGGGTTTTTCGTATATATTGTTTGTAATTGAGGCAAATTTTCTTCCTTTTGTTTCTGATTTAAAAACAAATTCATCATTCCAGTCTTCATAAATATGTTCTTTGATAGCTCTCAGAGCTTCATTATTAGATAATTTAACTTCTAGTGGAGCACCGTATATGCGATTTTCGCAATTGCATCAGCCTCAATGCCACAATGGCTGGATGTCCAGACAACATGGCATGATTCAATATTAGATGCAGCTAATTTGTTGTGGAACACTGCGACCGTATAGTTGTCACAATTGTCATTGATAAGTGCTTTGCATGCCAAAAGACTGTCAGTGAAGAACACACATTTTTTAAATCTATCTCCAACAGCTATCTCAAGAGCATTGAATAAAGACCAAAGCTCTCCAAACATTGATGATGATTTGAAGCCAATTTTAATGTAGAATTTTTGATCTAGAGAATTGTTGTAGGCCGCACACCCCATAGAGCTTGCGGAAATAGATGGAATCAGATAATAAGTTGAGTTTGAGTTGTAGACTCTTTTGTCGTGTAAAGTTAGGAATGTTCATAAAGCTGTCGAAATTTGTCTTAAACTCATAGTAGACATGGCTGTAAATAGACTTCATTACTGGATTATCTGAAATAATATCAAACAAAGCAGTTGTTAAGGCTCTATATTTTGGTGGGAGTTCTTGGGCAACGGTATACAACACATGAGTGGGGTAGACTTTGTAACCCCAAGACACCGTCTTAATATATCATTTTGAGTGTGTCAATTTTCTTATTTATGTATTCGGGTGAGTTAGCAGTGAATGTTCTCGCGTACTAAAGTTTGGATCGTACCACACTTTTATATATATTTAGTGCGTTCTTTGGTTGCCACCTTTCACGGAGGCCAAGCACTATAACATGTTTGACCTTGAACGAATATCACGGCCGATTTTTTCGTAATGATCCTTGACCGTCAGGGAGATGGTTAACACTCTTCCAATAAATGTTAATTTCCGTTGCTGTTTTACGGTAAAGCCATTGATACTTAAATTGATCTCTTTGTGCTGTTTTTTTTTTTTGCAAAGTACATTGTATGTGATTTGGATGGATTAAAGGAGAGGTTTAAACTGTTACAGTATCTTTTGAAGATAAGAGTTTTCGTCTGAAGATTTTGAGCAGCAATCTCAAAATCTCTATTATAGAATAGGATGATAAAGTCGTCCGCATACTGAAAGACCATGGTGTTGCTGTTTTCAATCTGGTGTAATTCAGCAGTATATATATTGAAGACCATCCTTGACAGTAATCTTCCCATTTCCCCTCACAAGTGTCCGTTCAGATAAAAAATTATGTATCCACCTACAGTAGAACCCATTTAAATTTATTGGGATATCGTACTTAACGCAGTTGTATGCATTACTTATATCAAGAGATAAGATCACGGTTTCAAATCCATTGATTTTAAGTAAGGACAATCGGTGGAGTAGATCATTAATACAAGTCGAGATGGAGCGATTCCTGACATTAACATTGGTATGCTCAATATGTCTTTGTATTATATCCTTTATCATTATATTGCAACATTTCAGCAACACGGGTATAAGAGAGATGGGTCGGAAATTATAAGTTTGGTCGTGATCTTTGTTTGGTTTCGGGATAGGAACAATCTTGATGCACTTCCAACTACAGCGTATGCAATTATCCTCAATAGTATTATTTATGACAGTGAGAATAACCCTCTTAAATATCCCCGGTAATGCCTTAAGTATGGAGTAAGTGACTCCGTCAACTCCTCCTGCTGACAATTTTCAAAGTCTTCGAATTCTAAGGTAGGTAAAAACATCATTATCATCCACATCGTGAGTCAGCTCCTCCATACAATCCACAACAGGAACCTGGTCTTTCAAGTAATTTAAGTAGCATTGGTTGATCTCTTCGTTCCAATGCGATCTGGGCTCATCGTGCCTTTTTCTGACATTTTTGATGATTCTTGAAGATTTTCTAGCACAGAGCTCTCTATTTAACTCATCAATTTTGGCCAGAAAGCTCTGTCTTTGGCCACTGCCACCTGCTCTTTCCAGTTTTCCTTTTCCTAAATGGCGTTCTCCAGGTTTAAATAAGAAAGGTATTTTCTAGCCTTATTGGTTGCAGCTACATATCTCCTGTACAGAGGCAGTAACTGATCGTTCCATCAATGCTTGGGAGTTCTTCCATTCTTTAGGTGGTGTGTTGCATACGATATCTGCATTTTGAGAGAATCCTAAATCATTTCGAAATCAGGCTCTAATTGTACATTGTTCAATGATTCAAACAATTTATTTTTGGAAAGGAACTTCTTAGAACCATTAATGTTACCATATATCCGTAGGATCACAGGTAAGTGTTTACTACCCACGAGGTAGTTGTCCAGAACACTCCAGTCAATAGCTATACCGTTGCTAACAAAGGCCAAATCAAGGACCCAGCCATCCGATTCAGGATTCCTTTTAAATGTAATTTTACCAAGATTTACATATCTCAAGTTTGAAGCTAGTATTATATTTTCTAAATTCTTTCCTCTTCTACTGGATATCACATCTCCCGAAGCTTCGCACCTGGCATTGAAGTTACTAAGGACCATAACCTCCTCCATATCTTCCAAAAACTGTATTACTTTCTCCATTTCATCAATAAATTCTTCCACCTCAGTAGACGGGTGGAAGTATACGGAGACAATATGGAAATTTGGACGTTGGTTTAAGGTTTTCGCTATTATTATATCATGGTTGGTATTGTAGATGACTCTCCAGAAAGTTGTGTCATTTGGCCACTGCTACCTGCTCTTTCCAGTTTTCCTTTTCCAAAATGTCATTCTCTAGTTTTAAATACGAAGGGTATTTTCTAGCCTTATTGATCGCACATCTTAACACATCTTAAGTTTGAAGCTTGAACAGGTGGATGTATACGGAGATAATATGGAAATTTGGACGTTGGTTTAAGGTTTTCGCTATTATTATATCATGGTTGGTATTGTAGATGACTCTCCAGAAAGTTGTGCCATTTGGCCACTGCTACCTGCTCTTTCCAGTCTTCCTTTTCCAAAATGCCATTCTCCAGTTTTAAATAAGAAAGGTATTTTCTAGCCGTATTGGTCGCAGCTACATATCTCCTGTACAGAGCCAGTAACTGATCGATCCCCCAATACTTGGGAGTTCTTCCATTCTTTAGGTGGGGTGTTGCATACGATATCTGCATTTTGAGAGAATCATCAATCATTTCGAAATCAGGCTCTAATTGTACATTGTTCAATGATTCAAACAATTTATTTTTGGAAAGGAATTTCTTAGAACCATTAATGTTACCATATATCCGTAGGATCACAGGAAAGTGTTTACTACCCACGAGGTAGTTGTCCAGAACACTCCAGTCAATAGCTATACCGTCGCTAACAAAGGCCAAATCAAGGACCGAGCAATCAGAATCAGGATTCTTTTTAAATGTAATTTTACCAAGATTTACACATCTTAAGTTTGAAGCTTGAACGGGTGGAAGTATACGAAGACAATATGGAAATTTGGACGTTGGTTTAAGGTTTTCGCTATTATTATATCATGGTTGGAATTGTAGATGACTGCAAAAATTAACATGTTTTTTAAAGGCAATGGCTACACCTCCTTAGCCATCTGCTCTGAATTTTTGAATAAGGTTAACATTTATCATCTTGTTTGGCTTGTTATGCCATGTTTACGTTAGAACTTTTTGTAGGGTTAACCCACTTTGATAGGATTTATTTGAAGTATAATGGACGTATTATTTGAAGTATAATGAATATAATGGACGTAATGGATATGACAATGTTAATCCAAATCCAGTGGGTTAAACGTATATACATGTAAACGTACTGTAAGACTTCTCAGAAAAAAAATCTGAGAAAACTGCTATATCAATATTATAATTGTTGCAAAAGAAATCGACGTATTGCTTATTAGCTTGGAAAGACGGTATATTATATTGTAGAACTTTCAGACCCATGGCTAGATGTATACAGAGTATTAGAAGTGTAGAACTGGTTAGTAGATACTCCACATTTTTGTATTCTGTCAGAAAAGAGGTTTACAGCGTCAATAGCAACTGCATTGCCACTCATTTTGCAAAAGTCCTGAACAAATTTTAATAATTCGCCAGTAATATTTTCTAACTCAGTGACTCTAAGATCTTCTCTGGGGGTAAACTGGAGCAGAAGGAGATGGTTGACTAAACATTCTTTCTGGCATTTTGACACCCTGAGGATGAACATATTTGTTCATGTGGGGCCATTATAGCATTCACCTGATCATCCTTGCTGACAGCGCTGACACCTTTTTCCTTTTCCTTCATCGTCGGCAGAAAGTTCAAATCTGTTCATTCGTAAGTATTCATCCAACAATTCTCTTCTGGACATTTTTTCAAGATTTTATTGGTTTCCACCTCCTTATTTCAAATCGGACACTTATTCCTATCAACAGCAACTTGTCCTTCCCTGTTGCATAATATACAATATTATTGCTTGCAATTACCATCGCATTTCCCCTTGCCCAAACCACATTTCAAACACCTCTCTTCCGATCTGCAACCTAGTTTAGTATGATCCAGTCTGCCACATTTATGGCATTGTCTCACTGCTGAGTAATACGTATCCACTGTTAAGACTGTTTTGTTGAAAACTACCCATTGCGAATGATCATCAACAAAAAAGCCGATCTTGACAGTTTCAGTCGGATTAAATTTGTTGGGAATACTAGAATCCTTTTTGGCTAATCTTTTAACTGAGGCAATTTTCATGGACGACACAATGTCTCTCATGATATCCTGCTCAGTCCAGCATAATGGAACATTCCTAATTACACCAAAGGTCTCAATAAAATTCCTTGGTATAAATACTTTCATTTTTCCCTCTTTTAACTCGCTGTTGTTAACAAAGTCGTTGGCTGATTTCATATCATACAAAGGGTAACCCCAATAGCGACCATCTTGTTAATTTTCTTGAATTCATCCGAATTCTGGTCTTTGATCTTTTCCATAAAATATTGACCATTTGTGACACCTTTATTTTTAACATTTTCTACCTCCGATGTGCACATTTATCTCACCTACATTAATCTTACCATATAGCATTTTCTCATCATTCATCTTCCTTTTTTTTGGCTCAACCCTTTCGGCCCCATCAAGGTGCGTGGATTTGTTGTCAGTTCTGTTAGCATAATTCTCTTCTTCCATATCCATAACCGAATTTCCATCAGCACTGCTACCACTAGCATTTGTCATACTCCCCGCATCATTCTTCATTCTTTTAGCTTTATTTCTCGACTCCACCTTATTCCAATGCCCCTCTGACCTGTCGCTGTCCAAGCCGCAAACAATCAGAGAATTGGGTAGGCCGTCAACACTTTCTGCCTGGGCCATATTCAAGTTAAGTTATGTATTTTTAAAGTTTAAGACAAAAAAATATTTTTTTGTCACACAATTATATGCACTTTTAAAGTGCATACAAATTTTTGTGTGATCTCTACAAAAAAAAAAAAAAAAAAACAATTACCTATAATAAGTTTCCATAGAACTTTTCAATAGAAAACAAAACGTGTGCGTTGTCCAAAAAATGTCTGCTGGAAGTGTAGCAAAAATTAGATGACTTTCAGATTCTGGTAGGTTGCAGACATCACATAAGTTGGTGTCTGCTCTATTTACTTTAAAAAGGTAGGTCTTTGTAAATGTATGGTCAGCCAAAAGACGATGTATTAACTTGATTTCTCCAGGTGACAAAGATAACCCAGCATACCATTGTGATTTTAGAGGTGAAGCGAAGAATTGGAAGAAGCATATGCTTTTTGTTCTTCATATTGTTTTGCAGTTGTTGACCCATTCATTCCACAGATTGCGGAATATGCATTGATTGATTGATAGATGTGATATTTTTATACAGCCAACTGTGGCCGCTAGTTAGCACATTCATCTGCTGTGATGCCTATATGTGACGGAACCCATATAAAGGCGAGTGAACTGATATTGGAGTTGTTAATCTTCAAGTTTATTTCGTTGGCAAGGTAGTTGTGGTTGTTATTGTGATTTAATGAAAGACAGACTCTTTTACTGTTTGTTAGAGGGCCTTTTCAATACCGTCCACTAGAATAATGTCAATTGCCTTATTAATTGCATTTAGTTCTCCCATAAGCGATGAACACTTTGAGTTAATTTTAAATAAGAAGTTCTGGCTAGAAGTTGAGTTCAAAATATTCATTAGGAATGTTATTTTCCCACCAGGGGTTTCAAACTTAGATAAATTTGTGTTGTCGATAATATGTTTTAATTTCATGTACATGAGCAAAAACCTTGTTTTGCTTGTGGGATTTGCTTTGTATGATTCATAGGTATCGGTGTGAAATAATTTGAATTTTAGCAGTTCCTTGGTGGCCAGATATTGTGAGCGTTGTTCAGGTGGAAGAACTATTGTAAGTGCATAAATAATTTGAACAGGAGTGGATGGAGTCAGTCCTAGACTTCTTCAAAGTATCTGGTTCTGATAGGTTGTTACTTTCCTGTTAATATAGTTCGGCATGTGAGCCATGGAAGAAACGGAGAACTCAGTTTTCGAGAATAACAAAGTTTTGCTAATTTTGTTGAAGTTTTTGAATGTATTTCAGCTTTCAGCCATTTAATCATTTTGAGTGCATTAAGAGTTGTGTTACATGAGTTGATTACCTCATCGTAGTGGTCTTTTAGCGTAAGGCTGTTCTTAATGTGCCGGCCAAGAAATTTGATTTTATCGACGGAATTTATCCGAGTGTCATGTACCTTTATTTCAGGTACTTTCCTT